AATTTGAAAATTTATTTTTTATTTAGAACGAAGAAGAAGCTGTCGATGAGTATTAAATTCTGTAGTCTACTATTCATCAACTTTCATTCTTGATTTTTTTTTTCTTTTAACATTTTCAATTTCAACTAACAATAATGAATATATCTAAAAGAATAATAGAAGTCAATTGACGACTAACAGATTTTTACTATCATGATGATGATTCACATCATCAATATAAGACACTTTTCTATCATTTAAATGGTATAAAGACAGGTGTCCTGATTTAGTAGAACAAAAAAAAAATACGTTTTTAATATCTCATTGATAACGTTAGTTACATATCAGTTAGAAAACTATATGCTTTTACTTTTCGAAAAATAGCAAACATTTCTATGTTCATTGATATGAAATTAATTAAAAAATAATTTGTTAATTGTGACAATAGGAAATGTGTGAAATTTCCTTGTATTTTAGAAGTTTCCTAATTCTATTGATGTATATAAAATACATCGATCTGGGCTTGGGTGTGATGCGAGCCTCTGCGTAAATGAATAGATAACATGCACACATGTACAGCCGGTCAAACATTTTCAATATTTACATAATCTAGAAACTTGTCTAGTAATAAAAATACGAATAAACTATATCTCACTAGTGTGCAGTTAATTAAACTTTTGAAGCTCTCTCAAAAAGAAAATATTACATATTTAAGCTATATTATTAAGTTATTTATTATTCGTAGTACAAAAATAATTTTGAGTAGATGTTCGAAAAGTAGTACATTGATTTGAATATTGAGTTCATAGATCAAATAGTTTTCTGATATGGATTCATTTTTATTGCACTTAAGACAAAGAAGAAGAGTGTGAATGTTTTAGTCTACATAGCTTTCAAAAGTTTATCTTTCGTAGTTAGATGTATTTTACATGGCTTAGGCACAATTAGTCAGATAGAGTATATGAAGTGAAACAAAACAGATGAATTCGAATTTACTTGAAAAATATATGAATCACTTCACGTTGCTAAGTTGAGTGGCTTTTAAGAAAAAAATCTAATTTTAAATGTAAACAACAGAATTATAAACACTCTAAAATTCAATCAAATTTCACCCGTGGACTGTTGTTATAGTCCTTCAAATGAAGGATCTAGCGTTTGGAGAAAAAAGGAGTGATCGTGATGACAAAACATGTTTTCAAGTTCATTAGAGATCGTATTGACTTATTTTCAGTTGGTTTTTGGTAAGAAAAATAGAAATATATTTTGGATAGGAGTGGCAATAGTCATTAATGCTTCTCTGTAAATCCACCAGTGAGCCTTTCTACGTAATTGATTAATTATTTTTTTAATTAATTTTGTATCAGTTGACACAGAAATTTTTACTCTTTTCTGAAAAGGAACAAGTATTTCTCTAAGATAAGTGTAATCGAAGTTATCAATGGAATCTTACAAACATTATTATCAGCAGAATAAGAACAGTTGACACTACCAAGAAGATACTAAAAGCTGTGCAACTCATAGATAAAAGTCTACAAAATATACTTAATTAAGTATTTCTGCCTGCACACTTTTGACTTAGTATTTATGATTACGTATCATATAGTATTGTCGAGTAATGACATTACTCAAGTATGATACTACCGCGGGAAATCCAATGTTATAGAGTATCTGGGAATATACTAAAGAGAAGTTGGTCTCAGACGACCTTGCAAATGTTAGATGTATTTTGCTCTTTAATGTCTGTATGTTGCATGTTTGTTTGTCTCAAATTACTTGATCATTCTTCATTCTCACTGTACATTTTTTCGCTCATGTAATAACAAGCCTGTGCAAGTAATTAATCTGGATGATTGTATGTCAGCCATAAATAATAATGGTTCAATTAACATTAGGAGTACAAATACAATAAAAAAAAACAGTATAATCAAATATTTAATAAAGATCTGTATCACCTTTATTGGTTCTCATCAAGCTCTGTCACTAATGATCAAAACTGCTGATTATCAAGGCAAAAAAAATAATAAAACGGATTGAAAAAGCATGTTTTGCTTGGAATGAATGTTACTAAAAAAATTTCGTTGTCTTTTAGTTCTAAATATTTCATATTTGTTGTCTGTGTTTCTCTTCATATTGTTTGCTTCCGATGTAACTATATAAAACTGGAATGTGATGAGAAACCAGTATTTGGTGCGATTCTTCAATTAACACTGTAAAGCTTAATTTTTCTGCTTTCATTCTGTATTACAAAAGTAGTCACTATAGATTAATTGATAATTATCAAAATAGTTGTCTTTTCTTTGTTGTTTCATGCAATACCGATTGATATTCTTACGTCATAATGTAGCTGAAATGCTAGTTTTACATCTTATTATTTTATGCCAAGAAAATTGTTCTATTTATCCTAATCAATTAAGTTCATACTATGAACTAAATGGCGTATTCTCATCTATGAGTTTTTTATCGTTTTTGTTTCTGTATGGTACAGATGTTTCAGAGTATGTGTAAGCTAAGTAGATATACTGATATTGATATCACTGTCTTGCTGATATCTGCATTTCCTCTTACTTATCATTTCTTTCTTCTTATTCTTCCCCCCTCTCTCTCTCTCCCATCGGCTAAGTTTGGGTTTAATCCAGCTCTTTATACTGTTTTATTATTACAGATATATTGCTGGTTACTGTCATACTGAATTCTGTTACTCTGAGAGCTCGTTGATAATCTTTGCCTTCACATTCAATTGATAAACAAGAAAAGATGCACAATGCTTTCAAGCTGCATGGCTGCATAAAACTTTAGCTAATGCTATTTGATTTTTTACCATCTATTGACTTGAAACTGATTGTGTCCGGTTCAGCTCTTAAAACTGGTCAGTTTTCAGAACATCGAAGCTAATCTAGTCTGCTTGTTTTTATCGATTTTCATAGTTTTCATGATTTTGAAATACGAACTGCAAAGTTTACAACTAACAAATTTCTATTTGTCATCACAATTTAAGTTCAAAATTTTGAGATCATGTTTTCTCATGATACAACAAGAGTTTTGAATCATACTAAATTTATTAATGATGCTTATAAAAATTTAGTTATTCATGAGTAGTTAAATTCGGTGTAACCTAAAGAATTTTTATCACGAAATTTCCAGCTCACTTTTGTAGACTGCTCTTAACAGGCACGCATAAACTCTCCTGGATTACTAGTTGGCAGTTCATGTTTATATTAAAATAATATTAGAAAAATTCTGCTGTGCTGTGAAAGTTTTGCTACCGGCTACTCTCATGCATCTGCCACGATATTTAGGTACTATAAAAAACAGAAAAAAAAACATGCAATCTAGAATAAAATTCTAAGTGTGTAGCTCATTTTGTCTGTTTATTTTCAGCAGTCATGTTATAAGAATTGAGAAGCGTTCAGATTTTATTAAGTAATAATGAATTAAAACATGAAAAATATCAAATTTATCAATTCTTATTAAAACCTAAATCTTTATTGAAAAGAACCATTTGTTTGTTAATATTAGCTATATGAAACATGACAGAATAACATAATAGTTCTTATTATTAAAAGTTCCAAAAGCTATTTGAGTTTTAAATTACATGTATTCGTTGAATTCTAAAGATATTATTTATCGAAAGAACTAATTAGTTAATTTAAGAAATATACCCAAAGGTTTGGTTTTTCACCAGGTTGAATTCTATAACTAAACTGCTTGGTTACATCAAAAACTTCCACCGATCAATCCTAAACTAATGATGAGTTAGGCAGGTTAAATGGCCGACCATGTTTTACATTTCTGTTTTTCATCATTTAATACGTTTCATTAAAAACAGAATCTACCAAAAGAAGCAGTATTAAAGAGTTTTGCTTTCTAGATAGTAGAGCTTTTCATACTGCATATTTTGATATATTTTGTTTTCTTTTAATGACGCGTAATGAGCAATGAAAAAATGACGTATAAAACGCGGCTATTTAACCTGTCCCACCCGTTATTTAATCAGTGATTATTTCACAAAGAGTCTTCAGAAGTACTTTTCTGGAAGAAAAATTCAATGAAATCTATTCTATAGACTCTTTATCTGTAAAGATCGCTATTTGTGGTATGTTTGATGTAGATAAATAAAATTTATAAGACTAAACAGTAATCTTACGACTGTTTCGAAGCATTGAATTTCTACACTTGTTTTTTTCATAGTTGAATCGAAAGTTTCAGAATGAAGCTTCGTTCAAGACTGTCAATTCAATGACTTCTAATATATGCATAAAAGACTGAAATAAAATTTACTATGTATTTATTTACTTAATATAAACAGTTAACATCAACAGAAAATTATTTAGCACATAGAATGAGTCCTTACGTTTCAAATCACAAGAAAATTAGTCTATATATAGATGATACACCGTCTATAACTAAATATAAATTTATGTCAGTTCTAAGTACTTACATGAATTTTTAATAATAATTTAAAATACGACTATGATCCTCAAATTTCCAAAATTGCACATTTAATTATTTGTTTGAGAATTATCGTGAACATTTATAATGCACGGTAGTGAAGCAAAACTCACTTTAGTATGAATTCTTGAGAAACAAAAGGGCTGATCAATAAACTGTCTTAATTGATATTATAAATTAATCTGAATCTTCATTATTAACATTGGCAGAATACTAACCCATAGACAAACAAATTTTCTATTTTTGTCTTTCGCTTCATTATTGAAGATGAGAATGTTGAAAGATTTCAATTTACATAATGATCCATATTTTTAATGATTATTGATTTTCACCTAACGACATCAACATTTACTAAAGTTGTTATCATTAGTTATGGATTCTTTATAATTAATTCTGTATATTTTAATACTAATGATATTTGAGAAATCTAACGTATCTTTATAAAGCAGAGAAAGTTCTATGTAATGATTGCTTGTTGCTGTTTTTTTTTTATGGCAATAAATATTTTTTTATTATAAAAAACGCACGACTCTAAGCTGTAGAAATGAACAGTAAATGCTATTTTCATATAGATGGCATCATCTTCAGAAAATTCGTGTCCATTATTACAAGCTAATATTTTCTCTCGACTTGCTCATCAGTAAGCATTTTTCTTAATCGAAATTCTAAATGAATTTAATCAAAATCTTGTTAATTTTCATTAGTTGGCTATCTCCTTTATTAGCAAAAAGTCATAAACAAGGTGTATTACATTTGAATGATCTTTATGATCTTCCACCTCATCTTAAATCAACTGAACTTACTGACAAACTTGAAGCAAATTGGTTTGATGAATTGAAACGATATCCGGAAAATCCAAGTCTAATTCGAGTTACATTACGTACTTTTGGATGGAAAATCATTTTTCATGGTGTTCTTGCATTATTACATGTAAGTTAAAATTTTAGTTTACTAATATCGGCGCCAGAAGTCAGGGCAGTCGGATGTTTTTTAAATAACTTTCGATAGGAACAAGTTAGAGATCTGCGGTTTTTCAGCAATCGATAGAAGATTATAGGGGACACATTTTTATATAAAAGCCAAGGTTTAAATAATCAGGCACAATAGGAGTAATTTTTGAATCACTGAAAGAATAGACTCGTTATTTGGTAAAATCTCAGCAGAACAAGCTGAAACTTTCAGCATATATAGTTCCACTGTAGTCCAATCTTTCCTAAAAATATCATTGATAAATCTTGTAATGACG